GTGCTCCTGACAGCGTGTCTTTGCGGATGTTCCGACGAGGCCCCCGAGCACGCTTCGAGCGTGGGCCGATGGGGCGGCGAGATGGCGACTCTGAGGAGCATTTTCGGATGCGAGTCCTAGGAGGTAAAATTCTAATGTTGTCCTGATCCGAAATCCCGCCCAATTCGGCGTAATCCCGCTTAATCCCGCTAAATCTGGCCTAACCCCGCTTGATCCAAGGCTCAATCTGGCGTAACAGCTCCCCAATGGGCCTTAATCCTCCTTGATTAATCTTTCCGTCGAAAGACTCCCAGTAGTTGCCTCCTAAAGTCTTGCTAGAGCATTTTGGGAGCAGCATGGTTCTAAAGCGTAGAACTGAGCAACGGCTTGCATTTGGAAATGACATGTTCGTTGGGCCGCGCTCGATGGCTGATTTCCTTACAGCTGGAAGCCCCTCACCAGATCCCAGAGTGGCCTCGTGCCTGCCCCCCCGCCCGCGAGCACTCCCAGGACAGCCCCGGCAGGTCCAGGATGGTCCCCAGCGGGGCCAGGGAGGTCAACATGAGTCCAGAGACTTCCAAGGGGCAAGAGGCAGCCTGAGATGGTCCAAGATGGCCCCCGAGGGGCCCAGGGCGGTCAGGGGATGGCTCCGATATTCCCCATCGCAGCTGGTCCACGAGGGTGCCCAAGGAAGGGCGCACGGCACTGCCAACGTTGGGCCTTGCGGGCAGGCCGCAGCACGCCCCAAGACGACCCCAGGAGGCCACGGGGCCTCTCTCTGCAGAACGCACCGCGCACGGCCCCCGATAGGCAAACCTCGTCTTTCGCGCCGCTCACTTCTTGGCTTCTTGGCTTCCGAGGGAATCCGAGGCACCCCCAAAAGAAGCCCCTGTGCCCCCCACCCCCCCAGATACTCCTCCAGCTGACAACTCAGAAAGCCCCTCGATGGTGCTAAGTGACGACGGAGGAGGCAGGGACGAGCTAGGAACAGTTGCGAGGAGGGATGAGCGAGGAGGGGGAAGCATCACAAGGAGTGGCGAGACGGCCGCAGACTGCCGCAAGGCCGCCCACACTCATCCAGCCATGGCGCCTGCCTTGCGGCTCGAAGCGCGCATGCTTCTGCATCGCGTGTGTATGTGCACCCGCACTTCTACGGCTTGCTACCGATGCAGTGAGGGCATTGCCTTTCTACGACTTGCGACTTGCTACTACTTGGGTACGACTTCTGTGCACCCGCACTTTTTTACAACTCCTTGCTTTCTGCTTTTGTTCACGATTGTTGCGACTTGTTTTTTTTGCAGAGGGTGCGCCGAAGAGGGTCGCTGGACCCGAGCAGCTGCCCCCTTTTGGGTCCCTGCCCCCCTGCGGCTCGTGCCGCCCCCCCCCGGCGGCCCGCACCGCAGCCCCAGGCAGGCGCGCGCCCCACGCCTGGCCAGGAGCGGGGCCCCGGGACCCGCGGAAGCGCCGGGGCACCTCGGGGCCCTCGAGGTCCGACGAAGGCTTCTGTGCGCCACCATTCAGTCGGGCGTGTCCCTCTACAGGGGGAACATTCAGAAATGATAAACACAATAGTATGGGGACGATTTTTTAAATTATTTTTGAACATTCGGGGGGTATTTTTTGACTATTTTGGATTTTTCGCCCAAAGTCCCCCTGTAGGGGGACACTCCCGACCTAAGGCCATCACCGTGCCAGGCCAGGGCCACCCCTGTTGCCCAGGGTGGTGTACAGACCCTCCTGGCCTCGGCCAGGGCGGCGTAGACGCCATGCCAGGGCTAGGATGGCCCTGGCCCGGCACGGTGGTGGTGCACAGGAGCCTTCTGCGTATCAAGGATCGCCGAACAAGTCGCCCGAGCACATCTCACAGCAGGGCTCCTAATCGCATGTGCCCGTCGTAAGCCGGCGGGCGCGGAAACCTTTCGCATTTGAGCGCCTTCCCTTCCCCCCTCCCCCCGCGCGGCCGCTCTCGTCTTTCCCCCCTCCCCCCTCTTGCACGCCGGCCAATCGGCCTCTCGGTTGCCCCGAGTCGTCGCACGCTGGAGCGGACCGCTTCTGCCTCGCCGCCGACGAGGAAAGTTTCTCGTGAGCCTCCTGACCCCCGGGGCGTGAAGACAGAGATAGACCTGCGGCTCCAGCGTCCCCCGGCGGCCCACCCCAGAAGCCCAGGACGCGCGCGCCCCACGCCCGGCTGGGAACAGGGCGCCCACCCGGCAGACGAGCGCGGACTTCAAAACGTCACGCGAGTCGTGAGTCGGTTCTCGGAGGCGCGCGAGCCGTATCTCCGCCAGCGCGGCTCGTCGAAGCGACGGGCAGGCATAAAGTTTACATGTTCGCGGCCACGGCCTCCACGCCATGCTCGAATGGGCACGGGCGGGCTCCCCAGTGGAGCGCCCACGGCTCTGGCGCTTCGCTTCGCTTCGCGCGGAAAGCACAAGATCTTCGAACGAGACAGGATACCCACAAGTTGTTCCAGACATTTTTGTTTTCACGTGTTGGTGGTCAGGCGGTTTTCAGTAGACATACGATTACCATTGGAAGGGATCACTGGGCCCATCGCGGGATCAGACAGTTCCGTGGGGCACTTCCTGGCGGGGTGATTTTGATGTGCTTACTGCAGCAGCTACCTGCCACGTCTCTAGTACCGCTGAGGGGTATAAGGTATAACTTTGCAGCAAACCTGTAGGAGCCACATCGCATGACCCCCTTGCGCCCCCCAGGCGCTAATATTGATACTGAACAGGAGTTTCCGGAGAAGCAGGACCAGAAAAATCTGGAACCCAGCATCTCGAACGAACCATTTGCGAATGTCAGCGCCGGTGGGGGGAGGGTGGGTGGAGAGAAGAATTGTTGTTTGTTCTGATTGGGCTCACTGTTTTGCAAAGGTTGTTCTTTCAACCGTATGGCGTGGCACCAGCGAGGGACCCCCCCAGGCCCCCCAGATGGGGTCGGAGTAAATGGGGTCGGAGGATCGCACCGCATCGCCGATGCATCGCCGATCCGGCTCGGTGTGGAGCCCGTGTTTCTCCACGCCGACGTCGCCGATGCATCGCCGACCGACGCATCGCCGATACGCCGGCGATGCAGTGGCGATGCGGCGCGAGCCTCCGCCCCATCTGCTCGGACCCCATCTGGGAGGCCTCTCAGAGACCCGGGCAGGCGGTGCTGGCCGACGCCACCGGCGCCATGCTGGCGCGCTGGGTCGCGGCCGCCGCCGCCGCCAACCGCACCCTGTGGGTCCTGGAGGTGGGCGCCTGCAACGGGGACTTCGCCCCGCCGGCCCGGGGCGACGACGGGGCCGGGGGCTCTCAGTATCGTTTAACCGATCCCCATCCCCATCCCCATCCCCATCCCGATCCCCACCATCCCACCACCCCAGTTCGGGATGTGCCCCTCGAAGCCCGAATGGAGCCGCCCACATCCCCACCTCGGGGATGAATCGCCCAGTGGGGGCATGGGGATTGATTCAACGATGCTCATGCAGGCTCGACGACTCCCCGGGAGTCCAACGACGTGGTCCAGGGCCTCTTCGGCAGCCCCGCGGTGCGGGCGGTGCTCGTGGAGCCGAACCCGCCCATGTTCCGGGAGCTGCAGAGGAACATGGCGGCCGCGTTCGGGAACACCGAGCGGCTCCGTGCGATGCAGGTGGCGGTGTGCCCGGAGAAGAGCGGCAGCGTGCCCTTCTACGTGGTGGATTCCGAGCGCCTCGTGAGGGACCATCCCGACACGCCGAAGTGGGCGGCGAAGCAGCTGAGCTCCATGGACCGCCACCACATCGTGAAGCACGCGAGGTCCCTGGCCATGAAGCGGAGCGCGTGGGAGGCATACATCCAGGAGATCGCAGTCCCGTGCCTCACGCCAGCGGACCTCCTCGCCGCCGCCAGCCTCCCCCCAGCGCAGGTCGACCTCCTCCAGGTGGATGCCGAGGGGTTCGACGGGAAGATCGTGCGCACCTTTCTCAACCTGCCAGAGGTGAACCCCAAGGTTATCCGCTTCGAGCAGAAACACCTCCCCCGCCAAGAGTTAGGAAATCTGACTAGCTATTTGCGCGCGAGGGGCTACAGGGTGGAGCAGATAAGCTCCGACGTCGTGGCCTGGCGGGAGGCCGAACTCCAGATTGACGGGCCACGATTGCAGGCACCAGTGGCTGAAACTCATCCGCCCACACGGACGGCGTTGCCATGTCCAGAGTATGTCCGTGTCGCTGGTGTTCCGACAGCCCAGTCGAAGCGAAATGGGATGTTCAAGCAAATCGGAGTTATTAAGGAAGAGGGTGTAATCATGAATGGCGGACGGCCAGTATTCAGAAGCACCAACAAACAGTTCTTGTTTTATTTTGCACGAAGGAAGTCGTGGCGAATCGGAAATCAACCAGAAGCCGGACAAGATGGTTTTGGTGACGGCGTGATCAGTCAGGATGGGGAGGGCGCAGTTTGTCCCACAAACGCATTTGGATGGCATTATTTCGATGGCGGATGGGTACCGTCCAGTGCCATCACAGTCGAGGCAGCCATCAACGTTGCGCCTTCTCAATCAAAGTCTTAGGGATAAATTGTTCGTTCGCCTTCGTGCGCAGCACTTTCAAACATGAACGCCAGCTGGTACGAGACGGAGCCCGAGCTTAATGGACGCCGGTCGCGGGAATCGCGATGTGCTCGAGGCGGTGTTCGGCGAGTTGTAGCCCTTTCCCCGCTCGCTGCCCTGCTCGCGTGGGCGGTAGATCTGGAGGGCTCCATTCTTGCCGCAGGCCTCCCCAGACTCGGGGCACTGGAGACCAGGACTTCGCAGACCATGATGTTGCCAGGGAGAGCGAAGAACGAGTGGCGTGTCGGCCCACGGTTGCAGTGGTCTTGGGCGTGCCAGCGTCCTGGTTTGTCAAGGTCCCCGTTTACGGTGCCCCGACGATTTACCAGGAGTTGGGCCTGGAGGCATGAGTGAGGCTTACCTTGGGGGCTGCAGAGGGCACTAGGGACACACCCTGAGTGTTTGCGAGACGGATCTGACGTCGGCCACGGTAAGAAACCTAAGCCTATCGCGTTACATGAATCTATGTACTCATGCCATCAGCATCGTCATCTTCCTTCCACGTCCGCTCTGGAGGAGACCTCCTGCGGCTGGACTTCACCATCGTCCCTTCGGTCGACGTGCTGGTTGCGGGCCCACCGTGTCCACCCTGGTCGTCTCTCGGCAGCAGAGAGGACCGCCTGCATACATGACTCATGTGTCTTCCTGTTTTCCTGTTCTTTCTGAAATCCCTTTTTCGTCTGGGATTCGAACCAAAGAGTTGTGGTCAGTTGTTTGTGACGACATGGTCGTACCTGCTGCATAAACTTGTACTCTTGGTTTATGCTTTCCTGCGTGTTGTGACAGTGCCTGAACTGTCTGAGTCAGTGCTGCGTTGCATTAACTTTGCAGCAGGGACGTGCCTGTGGTACGTGCCTGAATGATTGCGTGATGTGTGCAGGAACTGGCATCCCATGTTTAGTATTGGTTCGGCTTTCAGCAACAATTGCCCCTCCTTCAGCGTCAACGTTCAATGAACTTTGATACACATGACTTCGTTGGCGCGGTGTTTCAGGGCTTGTGCAGCTGAGCAGCTTGGTCGCAACGAATCGCACGCGTTCGACACATTTAGGCCTAGGATGCGTTTTTTTGTATGTCCCGTGCCACTCTATCGACTTGAGCTGATCTTCATCTCTGCCACAACGCGTTGGGAAGTAGCGTAGCAACGCTGAAGTGTTGGGTTGCTTCATTGTTACATGGTTGTCGATTTTCTTCTTGAGTGCCTATCCATAGGTTCGGAAACGAATTTTGAAAGGTCGGGCGGCGCTTGGCGGATTCAAAGCCAACCTTCGCAACACAACCCGCGAAGATCTAAGTTCATATTGTTCGACGTTGTTAGGTCTTCTACTGTGATGTACGGGAGCGGTGCAAGATGTTACATCTTGCTGGTCTCACGCCTTCCCACGGCCAAACATGCCCGCAAGATTAGAGGGAGGTACCCAAATTGCGGAGAGAAGAGCCTTGAGCTCCTCCTTCTCCTCCTCCTCATCCTTCTGCTCCTCCTTGCCCTTCTCCTCATCCTCCTCCTCGCCCGACAGAGGCTGGACGAGCGGGCCATGTTGGACGCTCTAGTCCCTCGCGGGGCGCCCCGTCAAGACCCAGGGGGAGGGGTTTGGGGAAGGGGGAACACTTCCCCGAAGGGCAAGAAGGGGTTTGGAAGAGGAAGCGCGCTAGACCACCTCAGCCCAGACCAAGATGTGCGACGTCCAGGTCGTTGCACGTGGTCCCCGGAAGCCCCGTCCCTTTCCCAAGGGCCGGTGTTCCATGCCGAGCCGTTTTTGACGGTCCAGGAGCCCCCCCAGAGGCCGAGCATCGCCAAACACTTCCCGCCGTGATTTCCGGTCGCGGCGCAAGACTGCCCGGGGAGTTCCTCTTCGCCCTGCGAGGGGCGCCTGGACGAGCGGGCCAACGTCTTCTGGCGGGTCATCGACCTCGTCGCGGAGGCGCCTGCACCCTCCGGCTCCGCGGGGCGGGGCGCTCCTATCCGAGGGGCAGCGGGCGCAGGGCGGCGGTCGGCGCGGGGGGAAGATCGGCTGCGCGCGCAGGGGCGTGGGCGCGAGGGAGGGGGGGGGGGGGCAGCGCTTCCTCCTCCTCCTCCTCCTCCTCCTCCTCCTCCTCCTCCTCCTCCTCCTCCTCCGCCACGGCTGCGTCCAGCCGTGGCGTCGAGGGCCCCACCGCAAGGGCCGGCTGCAGCTGTTTCGGCTCGCCCTCTCCTGATTCTCAGAGTGACGGCGAGCGATGGAGGGGGGTGAGAAGGAGAAGGCCTTCTAAGAGGGCTCGGACGTCCCCCGGCCTTCTGAGAAGTTTTCTGAACCTTCCCCGAAGACGCAGAAAACCCATCAGCAGGCGAGAGGGCTTCTGAGGAACCCCGCCGCCTTCTGAGAAGGTCTTCTCCTTCTCACTTCCCCCCCTCGCTCGCCGCCGAGACGAGGACGAGGAGGAGGAGGAGGAGGAGGAGGAGGAGGTGGAAGAGGAGGAGGGAGGACGGAGGAGGAGGAGGAGGAGGAGGACGGAGGAGAGAAGAGGGAGGAGGAGGAGGAGGAGGAGGAGGAGGAGGAGGAGGAGGAGGAGGAGGAGGAGGAGGAGGAGGAGGCGGGGGAGGGGGGGGGGGAGGGAGGGGAGGGGTCCCAGGGACCCGATGCGCTCTGGGAGAGGATGGGGAGGCACCTCAGAGGAGGGGCCCCGCTTAAAGGGAGCCTCCGCTGCCCAGTGCCCCGGCCTCTGGGCGCCCGTTCGGGCTCGGGCTCCGCAACGGGGAGGGGCGGAGGAGGGGCGGGCGGCGAGGTTGAGACGGCGAAGGAGGAGGGCCTGCCCGCAGGGCGGGCGAGACGCGACCCCCACCCCGGGGGGCTGGCGGGCAAGGGCCCCCCGCGGCAGCGTCGGGCGCCACCGGCCACGCCCCCTGGCCGTGGGGAGGGGCTGTCACGGGCTGGGCGCTAGGAGGCCCACCTGCGGGACGTGTAAGCGCCCGCGCCGGGCGGCCTGGCACGGCGCGGTTGGGCGCGCCGCCCGACCATGTGTGCGCGTCAAGCGGTCGGAAGGAAGGAAGGGAAAATATGAGGAGGAGGTCAAGCTGGAAACCATGCTGAGGTCATGGTGATGCACCGTCGACGCGTTGCTGAGGCATTCGTAGTGCGATCGCGAGACACCGTCGATGCCACGCCGGGGTGGATGGTGATGTCATGGTGTGGTCGTGTGTAAGTCAAATTTAGATAAGCAAAAAAGGTCAAGTCGTGCCGAGGTCGAGCTGATGTCACGCTTGGACCGTCTTGGTATCAGGATGAGGCCATAGTGAAGACATGCCCGATGAGGTCGTTTTCCAGTCATGATTGTGTCTGGATGTCCTGTTGGGGTAGCCATGGGGACGTAGTCTGGGACATTGTGGTGAGGGGTTTCTGCATGTCGTGTTGGTGTCGCTCCGAGGTTGACGGCTGGTGGCACTAGACCCCATTGGAAGTGAAGTATTCCAACCTTACCGCTGAGGTATGATTGTGCTCCGGCGCGGTGGACTTCCAAATATTTCGGGAGCCTTGAGACGGGGGTCAATGCAAACGGGGGTCAGCCAGGGCGCCAGATCCTGCAGGATCCTGCAAAGGCCCCCTCTGGCTGACCCGGGTCAGGGAGCCGCTAGTGGCCGCGAGGCGGCCGCGCGTATTGGCTGACCCGGGTTTGCGCAGACTTGCGTTGCAGTTTTTTTTCCTGCATTGCAGTTTTTGGTTTCCCGCTGACCCGGGTCTGAATTGACCCAGGTCAGAAGATCCCCGAATATTTCTTCGGAAAAAAAGGCTCGACGCACAACACCGACTACATCTATGAGTCCAGCTGCTAATGTTAATCTAGCTCTCGCAACAACTCGCAATAAGAGTTTCCATCGCCGTACCGAAGTTCGCACGGCAGAGTCTTCTGCACATCGTGCTGACGTTCCTTCCGTCCCCAGCTACAGTTGCCAACAGCTTTTGCTACATCTGGCATTTCCACTGCGACCGTAGCTCTTACGACAAAGCTTACTACAGCTTCGACGCATGCCCGAGAGGGGATGCCCACGGCACCCACACAGCTCTGACGTCTTCTGCATTCGTGCACACCACCAGCTTTAGATTCTCTTTGCAGGTCGGTATGCACGCTCATCCCTTCCGCAGGGGCAGCGTTAGGGGGGGATCAGTTCGCTCGGGACCTTTGGCGTCGTGGCGTCGCGCGGCCGTTTCTGGCCCACCACGTTTCGGCGCGGCACGCTCGCCGCGTCCCGATGCCCGAGCGGCCACGTCTAGGGTTCCTTCCCGCCTCCCGCCCCGCGGAGTGGCGCGGCACGTTGTCCGCTCGCAGGGCACTGTTTGTCGCCAGGGCCGCCGCCGCGACACGTCAAGCAGAGGCTCCCGACCGCATGCTTGGGGGGATGCATCGCCCTCTCCTATCGCCCACTCGTTGCCGATATTGCCCGGTAGCCCAGCCCGCCCTGCCGTTGCCCCCCGATTCCCCGCGCAGACCTGCTCGATTTCCAGGGTCCCAGTACCGCGCGGTGGCCCCGAATTACCACCGACTCACCCCACGGTATGCTTGGCGACGCCCGCGGCCGCCCTCACCGCGGCCTGGCGTGCTTTTCAATGTGGCCCGCGCGACGCCTTCAGGTCGGAAAAGCTCGTTCGGTTGCACATCATGGGAGCCGCGTGTACCTTCGCAATTTTTGTTTTCAGCGCCGATTGGCGTCCGGGCGCCGACTTAGCGTCGATTAGCGTCGATGTAGCGTCGACGAGCGTCGATTTGCCAGAACCAACAAAATGATGGAGGCTCCCATGGGTTGCCACAGAAAGTTCAAGCCTGCCCCCGCGGCCGAGTGCGGTTTCCCTCCCCCCCCCCAGTGCGGGGGGTGGGCCTCCGCGCCGCGCCGATCGCCACGGAGGGTGGTCCGTTGGTGTTTCGCCGAGTTGCTTGAATGCCGCCCTCGCTTGTCAAGGCGGTCCGCGGTCCGCAGGTCTTGCAGTGCTTCCGAGGAGGAGGAAGAGGAGGAGGAGGAGGAGGAGGAGGAGGAGGAGGAGGGCGCACAGCGAGCGCAGGAGGTCGAAGAAGAGGAGGAGGAGGAGGAGGAGGAGGAGGAGCACGGCCAGGTTCGTGCATATGCCCCTGCGGGCCTTGTTTGCTTTCCTCTGTCTCTGTTGCCTTCTGTTGTCCAGCTGCGTTCATCTGGTTTGCTCTGCCGGCTGCAGCACCTAAGCCAGCACCTTTTGCCTACGCCAGCTTGTTGAACATCCAGACGTTGCGATCCCAGTTGGTATGATGTTGCCAAAGGGCAGAACACAAAGAGGACGGAGGAGAGGTCACAAAGGAGGAGGAGGAGGAGGAGAAGGGAGGACGGAGGAGGAGGAGCAGGAGGAGGAGGAGGAGGAGGAGGGGGAGGGGGAGAAGGAGGAGGAGGAGGAGGAGGAGGAGGAGGAGGAGGAGGGAGAAGTCGAGGACCGAGGACGAG